ACTGTTTATATATATATATATATATATTTATATACATTATATATTTAGCATGGCACATTCAATATATGCATGTGTAGCTCAGTGTACTTTCTAGTATGTTGGCATACAGCTAAATACACAATTGAAATATATACATATACAGTATATACATATATCTATATCTATATATGGGAGGTGAGGTGTTTTTTTGGGCTTGGTTTTCGGTTCAGTCAGTACTTTGTACTTATAAATACATAATTAAATGTATTTTTAGTAACACAAGTAACGGAGGTACCGGAAATTGTCAGCCTTTTGCGGCACAATCACAGCACAGCTCAGGCTGGAATAGGGACTAGCAACATAAGGAGCCAGCCATTTGACCTGCAGTGTGCTAACAAAGAACAAGCTGATAGGAGGAGTAAGTGAACGAGAGATAAACTCATCAGTCTACTGCTTCTCTTTTCCCCAGTCACTGGCTGCGGAGGGGCAAGATCTATATGTGTTATTTACCTGCAGCACAGAAAAAAACAGGTCTCCTGTCCTGCCAGGCAGGGCTGTGCTAAGCTGTGTAAATCTGGAGACAGGGTGGACAGAAGTACAAATCCTTTGGCAGGTAGACCAGCTTTCTTATATGCATTATATCTGTGTATTTAGAGGTCTGCCTAGAGTTACGCTTTAATGGCAGAGTATGTTTTTCCCATCTTCTCTTCAGGGAATTTGGATTTTTTACAAAACATTTTGTATGGCCTGAACTGCCCTTCTTCTGTACTAGGGGGGCAATTATGAGCCAAACAGCCACAAAAATGTGCAGATCAAACGGTTTCTCTGGGCTGGCTCACGTCCTGTCACTATGAAGGACTCAGGATGTTCCAAGCCTTTCACAAGTTGTTAGATGACAAACCTCTTGGCTCGTAGTCAGCACACTTACACACTCCTCCCTGCTGGCCCAGCCGAGAGGCTTTGGCAGTGTAGTTCTGATTAAAGCGCTTTAAGATGCTGATGAAGAGCCGGATGCTTTAAACAGAAGCCAGCCGACCTTGATGAAGGATCAGGTGCAGAAAGAAGCCTCTCATTTGGTGCACCTTTTCTTTCCCATATAAATCAAACAGAGGCCTCTGAGGAATATAAGAGGACAGCATCTGACAAATCAATAGAGGCACGGGAGACAATGAAAACCTACCCAACTGCAAAGAGGATGAAGAGCAGGGCTCCTCTCACACTCCCCCTGGCATAAACAAAGGTCACATATGAAAGAACTGGAACATCAGGAAGAAATTAGACTTCTATTTCAGAAGCAGAGTTAACTCTGCCATCGACGGTCATATACAGTACCCAGGAGGGCGGAGGAAGGAAACGGTGGCTAATGTAAAGCCAGATGCCACAGAACAAGGAAATAAAGAGGAAGGGGATTACCCGATTGCATGATTATCCATGTCCTCAGGGGATTAAATGCCAAAATCTGCCCTAATCCCTCTGATCTGATAAGAGAAGAGAGGGAGTGAAATCACGGATCAGGCACAAGTTCCTGCACCAGAAAAGGGGAATGGGACTAGCCGAGCTGTCATCAAAAGTCATTTGTCACTACATATAAATATTCATCACCAGATCAGAGCCCTTGTACTTACAGAGAAACAAAACGGAGAAACGCATTAGAAATCGTCAGGTCATAAAACGCTTGGTGCAGAGAAGGCAGCGCAAGCAGTTTTCAGAGCAATTGGCGAGGAGCTGCCGAGACACAAAGCAGATACGAAAACACTGCCATATATATTGTACAGAATAGCAAAATCTATTCAATACAATTGGCTAAAGCATTACATCAATTCTTATTAACCAGCTGTAGAAGTCAGTTTAGGAAGCAGAGTGGTGACATAGGAGGGAACCAAGAAAGGTGAGCCGTAGGTGCGATTATTCTCCCAAAGTGATCACATCATACTGTATTTCCTGCTGAAGAGCCGAGTCTGTATCCGCCGTATACACAGTCTGAGCCATTGCTGCATCTGCCACAGCTAGGAGGAAGAGACGGCGATTAGACTTGTCACCCTTCATATATTCAAACAGCAAATAAAACAATCACACGTCATCACACCGACCTGTAACGGCAGAACGGGCTGCCGCTTCAAGCTGCTCTTGCGTGAGAAGCTGCTGCGAAGATGACATGGGCACAAAGTGAATCTGTGGAAAGAAAAAGAACGTAATTAGTACTTTGATCATACAAGCCTTTCCCCCCCCTCTGTGACTTGTTTTGTAACCACACATTTCAACAGGGAGTTCTATGGCAGTGTAACTAATCAGAACTATTCAAGATCATTAAGAGACGTTCACAGATACAGGAGGATAGGATGGAATGGCAATCACCTGAGGGTCCTGGAGGAACGGTCCTCCTGGTTCATACTGAATGTGAGTTATCTGTCCATCCTGAACCTGGAAGACACAATAAACCATATCATGAATGGAAGGATATACATAATACTGTTTTGGTGAAAGTACAAGGGCCCATTTGCACCATCGTGTTTCAGTGCAATGCATTAATGTAAATGCAAATTAATTGCTTACACACCAGAACACACCACAAACATGTGTGAACCATATTTAGTAAAACAGCCCTCCACAAGGGACTGTAGCTGTGCTGGGAAGATGTGTTGGGGATACCATTAAGAATGAATGGCACCGCAGCACACCAATGAACATGTCACCGCAATGCAGTAGTGTGAATCCGGCCTAAAGGATAATAAAGACGGAGCTGTATGTGCAGGAGAAAATCTGGGGTAATCTTCCCAAGAGCCAGCCTACTGCCTACATCAGAGTTTAAGCAGTAGGCTGGCTCTGGGGAAGATTACCCCACACAGGGTGCTGTGTTTACAGGATGGTATGTACAGCACTCTGCTTCCCCCCCCCCCCC